TCAAAGAGCATTTTTAGTCTCTTGTTGTTTGGAAAACATTTTAGTCATTTAAATTAAACATATTTACCACTTTAGATGATATAATAATGCCTAAGGAGTCTCTTGTTGTTTGGAAAACCTTTTAGTCATTTAAATTAAACATATTTACTTACCACTTTAGATGATATAATAATGCCTAAGATTTTAGATATTTTGTGTACATGTATACACATATAGACAAACACACACAAACAAAGAAGAAAAATTGTATCTCCTTTATACTTGTTAATTATTACACTTACCCCCCCCCCAAGTCCTCTGCACTTGCAAACTACCCAAACACCATGACCTTGACCTTGTACCTTACCAACATTCTTATAGCAAGTCCTACACTGAAACCAAAACACAGTGCTTTCTAGCTACTAAGAAGAAAACTAACCCTATCCTAGCAAAAACCAAGACAGAAAAATACATTGATACCCCTTTCATAGATGAAAGTCATGATTTAGGTTGGTACAATATTCCTCATAGTTTATAAAAGAATATACACAAAGCAGCTTTCACTGACTAGTGGAGGCAGGGTCTGGGAATGTCAGTAAGTCTAATAATACCATTTCAATTTAAGCACAGAAAATGAAGAATGTACTGCTGTCACTTCTCTGGGAAGTGTCATGCAGAAGATTTGAAGCAGGTGAAGAAATGGTACTGCATTAACCAACAAATGCTTAGTGGAAGGACCATGTCCTTCCAGCTCAAGATTGAGACAGAAAAATACATTGATACCCCTTTCATAGATGAAAGTCATGATTTAGGTTGGTACAATATTCCTCATAGTTTATAAAAGAATATACACAAAGCAGCTTTCACTGACTAGTGGAGGCAGGGTCTGGGAATGTCAGTAAGTCTAATAATACCATTTCAATTTAAGCACAGAAAATGAAGAATGTACTGCTGTCACTTCTCTGGGAATAATCTGGCCAGTGTCATGCAGAAAATTTGTAGCAGGTGAAGAAATGTTACTGCATTAACCAACAAATGCTTAATGGAAGGACCATGTCCTTCCAGCTCAAGATTGGTCCATCACAGTGAGCAAGAAATGAAGTGAAGGTGGCAGTAGAACTGAATGAATTAGCAAGGAGCCCCTGACAAACCTCAGGTGTACAAAGGGAACATAAAAGGTGAAAGCAGGGGCAGGTAGCTGGAGAGGATTATAGAGGGATGGGGTTAGCTAGCAGAGCTAAAGCCCCCCTGGGGTTTAATCTGGTGAGGGGCTTGTAGAAGCTCTTCTTGTTCTCCTTCAGATGTAACAGCAGGAAGAAGATGGGAAATGTGGGCCTGCCTGCTGAATGGGGCAGGGAACCTGGAGACAAAGGACACAGAAGAGGATGCAGTACATAGTGCCTTCTCCACACTGGTCTCTACTGATAATATTGGCCTTCAGGAACCACAGGTTCCTGGTACCAGCTGGGAAGTCTGAAGCAAGAAAGACTACTTTGGTGGAGGAGGACCAGGTCAGGGAACACTTAAACAAACTGGGCTTACACAAGTCAATGGGATCTGATGAGATGCATTCATGAGTGCAGGGGGAGCCAGAAGGTCTCACTGTTAGGCCACTCTCGGTTATCTTTGCAAGGTCATGATGGTCTGGGAGGGGAGGGGGGTACGACACATTCCTGAGGACTGGAAGAATATAATCAATCTCACTGTAGGGTAGCTTACATTAGTTTTCTGTGTTTGCTTAATTTTAATTGTGACAAATAATTTTCTATGAGTATTCCTCAGAACAGGTTATTTGTACGAATAAATAGAATTAGTCATTTTGATTGATAGCTTTGGTAGCTATACTAGACACAAGCTTTTTGTATTTAATTTTATTGTTTGGACATCCTTTTAGTGAACTGTTTTTATACCATTGAGATTAATGGTTAATTTTTCACATACTTTTTATAAGAAATTTACCTGTTTATACATTCTTTTGCAAACTCTAAATTGTTGCACTACTACAGGTGGGTGGGTGTGTAACACTAGTTTAAAAGAAGCACAGAGGAGAAAGTGTGTTATGTGTATATTGGGCAGATGTGGTGCAGGAAAATAGATTAAGCAGTATGGAATGAATTGTATAAAGGTTATAGTAAATGTCCCTTTAAATATTCTACTTTCCTTTAAATTCAGCAATGACCAATGTTAAATTTCACATGCAAAATTCAAAGCTGTTGAATAATCTGTGTACAATATAGAGATATTCTAAGTTTTTAATACGTATTTATCAGATAACTTTGTCATTACGTGTTGCCTAGATTACTGGTATATTCTTGAACTACTTGCTTTTTTCTTAAGTTAGTGTTAATATAATTTCCTTGGTGTCTTCCTTTTTAAATATTTATTTACCTCACTACTGGAAGTATTTTCTGCAATTTGCAGATTTTTAGCTCAGAATCACTCAGCTGGAGACATGGAGGATATTGATCTTTTTTGGGGTTTGGTGTCCTCCCCCCTTTTTTTTTAATGTTCATTCCTGGGTTCAAATACATCAACAGACAGTAGTTCATTTCATATTGCCATGAAGCAGCACAAGCTATTTAAATGTACTCATGAATTCAGTATATTTTTATTATTCATTATCATAGCTTTACAAAGCATCTTGACTGTATACTTTTCTGTTTTTTAAATTATCATTGCTTATGAGAATGCAAATAATTTTAGTTGACATTCACAATAGATGGGGTTTTTTTGTCATAAAGTGCCTTGAATCTTGTGTATGTGTGTATATAAATCTATTTACATGGAAGACAATGCTGTGTTTTTACAGGCTATGAGAAGACAGATGATGTTTCAGAGAAAACTTCTCTAGCTGATCAAGAAGAACTGAGAACTATATTCATCAATCAGCCTCAGCTAACCAAATTCTGCAATAATCACGTCAGGTATTAAGTAGTGGTTTTTAAGTACATATTTAATTTCAGAACATTGCATGTTGCACAGCAAAAATGAGGAAACGATTCTGTTAATTCCACTTCTGCCATTTCCTCTGACTATTAGTTACTGTCTCAGACTCTGGAGGGGTAAATGAAGTGAAACAAGGAGAGCAGCAGAGCAGATTCAGTTACAAACCTGACCTTCCAAATTTTTAAGATCAGGGAGGGGAATGTATGGATACTTTACAGCTGCACCATCAGCATGCCCCTACAGTATGGATTTGTTCTTCAGATTTCAGTTCAGTTGAAGTTCAGTTCGTCTTTGAATGTATTTCTGGTAGCTGGGTGCCAATGCAGAAGTATTTTGCTTGAGCATGACATTGTCTGTGCTTTGGAAACTCTTGTCTTTTTCAGTCAATCAGCTGCAAAGATGCTGTGGTTACTTATGAAACTAGGTTTGAATTTGAAGTTCGGGCGTTAGGACTCTGCTGACAGTTTATGTTGTGATTTTTTGTTTGTTTTTGTTGAATTTTAAGTAATACACTGAATACTCATAGGTGAGGATGTTATCAGATCTAAACATGTATCAGCTCTGTTGTTAAAATTCAAAGTAAATGAATGGCAAAGATATCCCTGTCCCAAGCAGGTGTGTTTTCTGAAGGTACCTTCGATAATATGTAGAATTTTTATAGACATTGAGAATAGTGACAGGGGGTGTGGAGGGGTGGTCCATGGGCTTGAGAAACTTTATTATCCTTTTTGTTTGTGTATGCAACTTGTCTTTTCCATCTTTTGCTTTGTTTCTTGACAGTGTTGAGCTTTTTTGCAGGGTACATTCTTTCCCTTTGTAAATTGACTTGTATGCAAAGTCAAAGTAAATATTACTAACTTTAAAAGGGGTTAAAATATTCTTTCAAGTCTTTTGCTTGTAAGGTTTTGGCATGATTATTTTCACTGTTACTGTTTTAGGACCTTAGATGGTAGCAGTCTGTTCTCAAATGTAAGGCTCAGGAAGAGCTGGGAGCTCAAACATTTTGTGCTGATGGTTTAGCAGAGATTATTATGCTGGGATAAGATGTATTCTGTTCTTCTAGCATAGCACAGCTGCACTTAATATACAATATTTATAAGTTTAAAATTAAAAAGTGAACTCGGCA